GTTATCATGCAGATTTATTTACAGCTATTATTTATTCCAAAAAGGGTTTTTTCTGATTACCATTTTCCAAGAAAAAGCATAAAATAAAACACAATTTGAGAATCAAAGACATCTTTTATTAATGATTTTAATGAGCAAGGCAAAAAGATAAGCCCATATAATATTAACTTTCACTTTGGGAAGAGTGAAAGCTTTTTGCAAAGATAAATAAAAACAAATTACTTTGAGATATGGATGCAAGAGGGAACATCAAAAGTGACTTAGTTCTGGATTTTGACTCCAGGCATCACATAATTCGGAATTTCCTGCTCTTCTTTATTCTCTACAATGGCATTAACTCCAGAAGTAGTTGGATAGAGGTAGCCTCCACTACGGAAAATATCCTAAAAACTACTTTCAGTAGACTTTGACTTTAAACTCTCAACTCTGTCATTATTTGCAGAGAATCCCAAACCATCCTTGTTCTTGTTTACAAGAGGATCAACAATCTTCCCCCATACTTTACTTGGACCATTGCGCACAACCTGCTGAGCATCTTTGAACAAAGTCATATAATTCCCATTCTCTCTTACATTATCAACAGGCAGAGCTTAGAACTGCATCCCCATAACAACTTCATATGCCTCTACAACACTGAAAGACGATCGATGATATATCAGCATCGCTTGCTCTCCATTTATAATAACCACTTTTCCTTCACGCAAGAACTTCATATTTTGGTGAAGAGTTGAAGTGACAGCCCCTGCTTCGTGTATCCATGGCCTTCTCAGAAGACAGTTGTATGCAGGCATAATATCCATGACTTAGAAAGTAATCTGAAACAAGTGTGGGCCTATGTGAATCGACATATCGACTTCCCCAATAACTGACTTCCTTGATCCATCGAAAGCTTTGACAATAATACCACTTGGGCGCATGGGAGCCCTTTGATATTTAAAATTCATCAACGTACTCCTTGGTATATCATTTAAGGTGGACCCATTATCAATTAGAACATTTAATAATGAATCATTTTTACAGTTCATGGACATGTGGAGAGCTAGGTTGTGATTCCTCCCTTCGTTAGGCAATTCATCATCGTAAAATCTTAGGTTATTACAAGATGTAATATTACCTACCACGCTGCTGAATTAATATAACGGCATATCACACTCCACGAAGGCTTGATCCAACACCCGTATTAAAGATTCCCTATGGGGAGCAGAATTCATCAATAATGCTAGGATATATATCTTTGAAGGAGTATGCAATAGCTGATCTACAATTCTATAATCGCTTATTTTGATAATCTTCAAAATATCATCCATATCTTTTTCCAGGGTAGCACCACTGGATTCTCCTATAGCTTTCTTATTCTCAACACCTTATGTAACTTTCTTCTTAGCATTGACATTGCCCCTAATAACTGGTGCAGATACACGACCACTGCGGGTCACCCTGCTAGTTTCAACAATATTCTCAATTCTAGACAAAGGCTGGATGGGAACTTCCACACCATCCTCTAAAATAATAGCATTGTACTTGTACGGTACAACTTTATCTGACTTGTAAGGAACGAGCCATGGCAAGCAGATTACCACAGGGGTGACGACTGGCTTACTACAATATTTAATTTCAATAGGGGCATAATCATTGAAACAAGGAATAATTATGTTCGCACCTTCTTCCGAAAATTTGGACATCAAAGAATCACCTCTGGAGAACATATCCTCATCTGAGGAAAAGAACTCATTCGCAGAAGCATATTCATCATCTAATTCATCCTTAGCCAAGAAAACCTCGATCATATTAACCTCATAGCAATCATCTCTTTGGCCTGACACCTTGATTGTTCCATTATCCAATAACAATTGAATACATGTTCTTACAATGGAACATCCTTGGGAATCCCTGCAGCAAACCCGACAAGATCCATAATGATGCTCTACCTGATCAGGCATGTGGTAGAAAGTATCATGCAAATGCACGAGATCATCATTCATATGGTCCATATCAAAGATCCTAAACTCTCCAGGACACCCAAATACCATGCTCACTTCCTCTTCATATTCTTCCCTAGGCCTGATTATATGGATAAGGCCCTCATCCATCATCTCCTGCAAATAAGCCTTTATTTGTCACAACCTTGTATATTAGTATTACAGATGCCACAACCAGCATGGTCATGAGTATAGTAACTAAACTCGCAAAGGTCTGCATGCATCTTTACCAAGTCTCCCCTGACCAAATTAATATCATAAATGCAGAAGTCCCCTGGACAACTAGCAACCATGTTGACAACATTTGTTCCTCCATGCTTTGGTAGAGGATTATCTTTTACATTAAGACTGACATATTTGAAGGACAAAAGGACAGATCTAACCATTTTCTGTACCTCGGATTTCAGAGGATAACAATTTTCCACATTATGCCCTGGTGCACCCTGATGGAAAGCGCACGTCTGATCTGCCTTATAGTACCAAGGCAAATGGGATGGTATAGTAGGGGGTGGCCTAGTCTGGACCAACTTATTCTGGATCAATATTGGGAGTAGCTCTGCATAACTCATAGGGATAGCGTCAAAAGTCTCTCTTCTCTGATTCTGCCCTTGACTTCCTTGAGGGGCTGGTCTTAGATAGGCAACTGTGGTCGAAGCAGCATTTACAACTAGAGTTACCGAGGCAACCTGTTTATGACGCTGATGATTTCTTCTAGGAGGATTAACCCTTCTTTCTTGAATAACAACATTTGTTTCTCCTTATTTCTTCTTAACAAACCCAAATGATAGTTTTTTCGCATTGCCGAAATTTTCACTTTTTGTCAGACGACCTTCTCTTACAGCTTCTTCTAAACGAACGCCTGTTGCACCCAAAACTTTTCCCTCCTAATGGCATTTATATTTGGCTTAGGCTTAACATCACATTCATATATTTTCATTGTGTTACTAACATAGCATGCATTTTCATTCAAAAAAATAAGCGCCTGAAGTTCAAGAGTTCAGTGGGCGTGCAAGCTAGGGTTTTTACAACTAACTGAGGTGTATATGATCAATAAAGCTTGATTTTTCTGGTCATTTTTTTTCAAGTCAATGAAATTGTGGATTTAGGGTTTGTGTTCATGGATGTTGTGTATCTTTTATTCATCAAGCTACAAGGTCATCCTCCATAAAGAATTCATCAAACATAAGTGGATTAGGGTATCACATCTTCTATGTGTGAATTTGTAATATCTACCGACCGAGGTTCATTGAGCTCCATATTACGTTTATTTCTATACTTCAAGGTGCCCTCAAGACATGGTTGTTATCCATAGAGCCAACACATAGTGTGGATTAGATTGCAAAATGAAAGCCATGGTACAGAAGATGAAGTTGTGAGGTCATGGAGTTTAAAACGTCACCATTCTTCCAAACCCTTGTTACTTCAATTACAAGTTAACTAGGATTTCAAGAGGAATGAGATGTTAATTTGGATTCATTGAAATGTCTAATTATTCTCAAGGTTAATATCGGTTTAAGATCCCGATTTCATGATTTGTCAATAGTTGATTCAAGATAAGATCGGAAGATTCATGTAGTTCAATTTGCCATCTTCAAACTCACTTAATTCACCTCCCATTATTCAAATCTAGGCATGACATATAAATATATTTGGACTCAATTCTTTGTGATATATCAAATTGGGTTCAAGCTTTGAAGTGTGGCGTCCCGGGATAAAGTTCAACATCAATTTGGGAAAGTTAGCTTTTGGCCAAAGTTCCATTTAAATTTATGATTGTTTCATTCAAGTTACAAGCATAATGGAGGGAAAGTAATTCAAATTTGAAATCAAAGTCTCCACCACAAAAAGAAAAAAACATTTCAAAACATGGTAGCTCATTCAAGTTCAGAGCACAAAGTTGAATTTCAAATACATACAACATCTAAGTTCCATCCAATTGCATTCACAATTACACAAACTTTTGTTCTAAGCCTAAAATCCTAATATCCTAACATCTTCATGATTCCATGTTCGTGCCAAGTATCCATCTTCAAAATTCTCTTTCACTTAGCCTAAATTACCAACTGTTTTGCCTCAGTATTTCTTCATGCCATATTCAACCTCTCATGCCATCTTCTTAATTTTCCTTGAACTCCAATTTTAAGCCTTCTTCTAATTGTAAGCTATACCCTGTCAATTAACCAAACAGTTTCACATAACAACATTTCACATGCAGACAAACTGGTTTCCAAATTAATCATGAAGCAAAGTAGTTAAACCAGTTCATACCTGTTTCGATCCATGGCAAAGATAATCAAACTGTGCCTATGCCATTACAAACCTACATTAAGAAAATCTAAAAGAATGGGAATTCAAAGTGTCATTACAAAAGCAATTTGCAAGTGCTCATGTTTCATATGAGACATTCCTAATGCATTCATCTAAGTTTAGCGATATTGGCTCCGGTGATCTCCTCATTTGTGATGATGCTCATAGACTGAAAAATGATCAAACAGTAACAAATTGAGCATTGGCTACTATCACATGCAAGCATAGGGTTTTGTTGTTAGGAACTCCTTTGCAGAATGACTCAGAAAAATTCTTTATAGTGGTTAACTTCATTAATCCCGGAGTATTGGGAACCATCTCACATTTTCGATGTTATTTTGAGGCGCCAATAATTTGGAATAGAACCTACTGCTACCGTAGAAGGGAAGAAACTCGGTGCCGAACGTACTGTAGAACTAAGTGTCGAAGTTAATTAGTTCATACTAAGGTAGACGAATGTGTTGTTATTAGATTATTTAACAACCGAAGATAATTGAAGTTCTCTGCTGTAAGTTGACTCTGCTACAATCAGATCTGTATAAACATTGTATACATTCCAAATTTATTAAGCGAACGTCACGAAGAGGTGAAGAAAAAAATATTTTTAGATATAAAAAGTTATGCAATCATCCAAAGCTCACCTATGATACCATACAAAGTGGGAGTCCAGGAACCTCAGGTTTTGAGATCTGCATCTAATTCTTCCCTCCAAATATGTCACGTGGAAGGGCTGGATTCTGGACAGCAGAACATGGAGGCTGGGTTGATCTTTCTGGTAAAATGCAAGTCTTGGCAAGATTACTTGCTCAATCATGTCAGAGAACAAATGATCGCATCTATACTCAGACTCTTGATCTTTTCGCTCAATTGCATCAGGAACAAAGGTACCCTCATTTGAGGCTTGATGGTGCTACATCTATCAGAAAAAGATATTAGCAGAAGAATAAATCAAGAAAATATGGAAACAAAAATAACAGCTCAGCAAGCTTTCATAAGATCAATTGGAATCAATCTCAGCCTTATAAATCTCAGGAAGCTATCTGATTCAACCACTCAGATTTACCAATCTCTAATTAACAGAATTTTTGTAACAAACCTCAGAACCAACCTAAATAGAATTCCCAACAGCAACTAACCAACTATCACTCTGTAACTAACCCTCACCCCTAACTAACTCTAACCAAGTTCTAACCATACTAACAACAATAAAACAGAATTCAGGAAGAACTACAAAAAGGATATAACAGAAGTGGTAACGGAGGAGGGGTATGGATTATTCACAAACCATAATAGATTCATAGAGAGAGAGAGAAATACAGAAAAACTTACCACAGAACTCTCTGAAATTGTCTCTTGGTCCACAATCATTTTTCATTCACCAAATTTCTGAATCATCATCTTCAGATTTACTCAACCTTTCTTCAACCTTCCAAAATTCTTCACCATATGCATAATCACACAAGTTCCCTCTTCTCTCTGCTTCTAATTCTCTAGATTTCTTCTGCAAGAATCGACCACATCATCCTCATCTTTTACTCCAGAATCTGTATCGGTTCCTTTATTCTCTGCATCGCAAGAACAACGACATCAGTGTGCATAAGAGATCAACATAGAATATCACGCAAAGAACGAGAAGAAATAGTTGAAGAAGAAGAAGAAAGAGAAAGATATCAGAAGAGAAGAGTTTACCCGATCTGTCTCTTGAAGGATCTCTGGATTCCTATTTTAATTAGCAACAATCACGAAACGCCGCCGGAGCGTCTCCGGCCGGTAAGATCTGAATCCTCACTTGTCTTCATCTTCTTTGTGGTTTCTTGATATGAGTACGTAGAGAAGAAAAGGTAGATTAATAACCCTATGGAGGCATAGCTAGAAGTTCCTTCATTGTCATTTAATTTTTCATTCTCAGAGACTTAGGGTTTATGTGTTTCTGGTAGATTTATAACGAGTGAATTGAAATTGGTGGAGATGAAGGTTGGATTCGTGTTGAGAAAGTTAATATTGGGGGATTGGTGACAGAGGCGTTGGCTCGCCGAAAATCACGAGAAAGATCAAAGATGGGAATAAAGGAGGTTGGGTACAATGAAGTTGTATGGCCATAATCTGGATCAGAACGATGCTGTTTCACTTTTTAGTTGATTTTTTTCATTTTTTGATTGGAATAATCAATAAGCTAAATAATCTTAGACTTTGTGTAATTGGATTTGGACCAATTTTGCTGGATTACACTTAGGCCCATGCTACCATTGTGTTTTTTGTATTGGGATCCAATTGACAAATAAACAAAATTCTTGAAAATAACTCTTGCTAGACCGAAAGTCTCTGAGTCCATTTCTACTGTTTTTGGCAATCTGAAACTTATGCACAAAAATCACTGTTTGTTGGACCTATTTCTGAATTGGGCTTAGCACTTCATTATGAATTGCTGGATTATGCACCGTGGTCAATAGATTGCACCCCCTGGATTTATTCTTTTAGTATTTTCTTTTAACTAATTTTGTTAATTGTTTAGACTTGTTTAAATTTTCTTTACATGATAAAAATAATAAATTCAAATATAAAAATTTGTTAGTTTTTATTTGTGGTTTTAGGAATTTAATCTTGATTATCCGATTATATTTGAGATAGGTAATTCACCTTTGCTTGTTGAGATTTGAGTCTTGTGCAGGTTTATTGTGCGATATGCGAATGCGCTTGAGATTTCGATTGTGATTTATTTTCACATCGATGATGCTTCGATACTTATTTCGAGCATTTGATTTCTGACTCTTTTCTTTGATTGGTGAAGTTTTTCGCGAAGATCGTTGGGTTTCTTTGTTTTGATAGGCTTTGCTACAGATTGATATCTTTTTGGTATTTTCTCTTGTTTATCTCATTTTGTGCTTTACTGCTTTCTAGATATCATGAGAAGTAGGAAATAAAGAGCGTGCGCTCGAAGTCGTTGTTTAAAGACTTGTAGCAGGCATTCCGTACTTCATTTGCTATATGTGTTGTGTTTGTGTTTGTTTCCTTGATTGTTGATTGATGAGTCACTCAATTTAGGAATTGAGATCACGACTTCGCTCTCAGTGCGTACTCCTTATAGGATTTCATTGCTTTCCTTTATTTCTTGTTGATCGATGAGTCACTCAATTTAGAAATTGAGATCACGACTTCACTCTCATGGCATCTTCCTCATAGGATAGTTTTGTTAGACTTTCTTTGGTAGGCTAGACTAGGTAGGTTCTCTCTAGTTATGCTATCTTAATATAGCTCTCTTGAGCTTATTGGATTGCTTGTTTGATTTCATCTTTGTGTGCATGTTTTGAGATGATATACCCTCAGCATGTTCCCTTAGGAATTCTCGATTCAACTATAGATGATGATTCGAGATAGACATAGTTTTAGGTGATAGACCCTTGCTATACTCCTTTAGGACTTACTGATTCATCAATAGATGATGAGTTGAGATAAACATTAGGATTGTTATCCAAGCATGTCAATCTTAGGGTAGAGATTTCCCTTCAAAACTCAACCTTAGGATTAATCATTGTATGGTAACATTAGGGATAGATTTAGGCAAGCTTCCCTTAGATGTTTTCTTTTCTTTTGCATCATTGCATTTAAAACAAAAACTTTATCTTTTTTTGAAAAATATTAAAACATCTAACAACTTCCAAATCCTTCTTCAAAGTAAAAAATATCAACCAATGAAAACTCTTTTTACGCCTTCGGGCTTTTCTTTCAAACTTTTCAGAAAGAACATGTTAATTCACTTCATTGTTGATGCGTAAGTCTCCAAAGGTCGAGTTGCGGAAGAAAGAAAAATTAATATTGTTCATTAAAAAATACAAACCAATAAATTTTTTTGAAGTCAAACTATGGCTGCTCTGATTCCTTAAAAGGGATACAAAGGCATTGGGGTAGGGCCCGAGCGAGCACAAATTTTATTTCCCCTACATTCTTTTCTCCTTTCTTTTGCATGCATTCCTTGTACAATTTATATATAGATTCTCATGCACCCTTAGAATAGAACAACATGAGTGGATACCGTAGAGTACTACGGACGTGTGGGGTGCTAATATCTTTCCCTCGCGTAACAGACTCCCTTACCCAATCTCTTAGTCGTTCGACCTTGATTTCACCCTTCTCAGGTTTAATCTATGTTTACCTTTCTCTTCTTATGGGATAAAAGACATTTGATGGAGACTTCATTGATTTCATTATCAGTTGATTGTTCAGCCGATTGTTTCAGCTGGCGACTTCATTGGGGACAGGTTGACCTATTGCTGGTCCATCTCGGAGTCGATCCTAGCTCTTGTTTTCTTTTCATTGGGTGTTTTTTTATGCTTTAAGTTTATTCATTTTGTACATGTTTATTTGTGCATATGTTTGCATTGCATTTTATTGCTTTCTATATTGGTGATACTACTATGCTGGCTCTGTTTTCATGATTTGGTGGGCGTTACTATGAGGTAAAAGGCCCAAATACCCAGGCCAGAGTGCACTAGGATACTAGGAATAGAGTGGAACATGAAGGGCTAGTTGACATAGGTTTCACTATTGCTGCCATGTCGTCCACGCTCAGATGAGGTACAAATGAGGGGCTATCATTTTCACGTAGGTGATACGACGATAGTTTTCTTAGGAGTACCCTTAATTCTGAGTTACCCGACCTTACCCTGACCTAGTTTTCACCCGTGAGCAGGGAGGGACTTGATTATCACAGGTACAGTTGGTGACTATGCACAGATGGTGACCATGTTCTGATGGTGACTGTATTGTTTTGTTGGTGACTATGGTTATTTGGTTATGTTCCGGACCTTTGATCCTGATATATTCAACTTGTTCAAAGATTATACAATGGTTATTCATGGTACATGGTTCCATTGTATGCTGAAATTGGTGTCGAACCTTTAACCCCGTGATATTCGAATTATTCAGCAGATTTATACATCAGTTATCCAGAGAATTGTACAGTTGTCATGCTGAACTTTTGAACCTATGAAATTGCACCTTGCATCATAGCATCTTTATTTTACACAAAAAGAAATGTGAAATATTGTACGTAAAAGAAAGTTTGAATGTGGCATTGCATCCGCTCATTCACCTCATGCATCTTAATGCTTCTTCATGCATCCATAGCAGGTACTCGTAAGGTACTCAGAATGGGGAATCCTTATTTAGACTCCGTATTTTCTTTTCAGAGCTGCAAATCTTGACTTCTCGCTGCTCTGTGATCAGATTCAAGATATGGAACAACTTCGTGGGGAATTGGACGAGATGAAAGAACATATGGGATTCTTGATGCTAGACATACATGATTTGGTCCATGGACAAGAACTCCTGAAATAAGAAAACACTCAGTTGAAGACTTAATTGAATTTGGTTATGGAAATTTTGGGGACAATGTTGAAGAAATAAGGTGTTTCTATGCCTGCTACAATATGAGCTACCATTCCTCCCCATAATCTGGGGACTCTTTTAAGTCAGGGAGTATCTCATGCACCGCCTCGTGCTCCAGGATCTTCCCATCCACAACCAGTTGTCATTTCCCAAGAGGACCCAAAGGGCAAAGTCCGTCAGCAGAGGCCAAAACAACCTGAACAACAATTTGATCATATTCCAATGTTGTATGCACAATTGCTTCCTCCCCTACTAGAATTTCATTTGGTCAAACTCCGAATCTTCACTACATATGAAAGGCTCACTCGTGGCTTTAACAACAATGCTATATGTGAATTCCACTATGGAGCACCCGGTCATGATATTGAAGATTGCATATCTTTTAAGCACCAAGTCCTAGATTTGCTTGATGCAAGGACAATTCTCTTCCCTCCCAAAGGTCTGAGCGTGCAAGTCAATCTTATGCCAACTGCTACAAAGAATAGGGTTACTCCTTCTCCTCTTCAAAGTTCACTCTCACGATCTGAATCACATCTTCCACAACCTACACTCTTAGATAGTTCTCACCAACAACCATTTACAAGTTGTGGAAATCTGTTGGTTAATCAAAATTAGATTGTTCCTCATGTTCATCCAGCTCAGTGTGCTCCTTAGCATCAAACCTATCAATAGAGACGTATGCAACAAGGTAAGCAAAAGGATATGAAGCCAAAGATAGTGTTCGACATTGTTCCCATGACTTATGGCCAATTGTTCTTTCAGTTGCTCAAACTTTTTTTGGTGGAACCCAAGCCATTAAATCCTATCATTCCTCCTTATGTTGTGGATTTTAATCCTAATGTGCGATGCGACTACCATGCTGGGGCACTAGGTCATTCAATTGAAGACCGTCGAGCTTTCAAAGGAAATGTGCAAGACCTACTTGATGCAAAGACTATCAATTTCGGGTCAACCAATCAAATTTGAGGTCTCCTTTGACTCAGTAAATGTCAATATTGTCAGATCATCACCTAAAGCAACAAGTCCATACGGAGACTAGTCTCATCAATGTGGCAATTTCTAGTTTCATTTGCAATTCTCATTTTTAATCTTTCTTGCGTTGGTTCAGTAATTTCTTGTATGCAAAACTTGCTTGTTGTTGAATATTAATCACAATGCATTAAATTTGTTTGTCTTGAATTAATCCATTCGTATTCACTCATTAATGTTTTTCTTTGTTTTTGACACTTAACTCCTGTAAATAAAGCAAAAAAAAACCTCTGGAGGGAGGATGATGAATAATATACCAAAAATTCTCAAACGGTATACTTTCGAGTAAAACCTTGTTGATGATGTACATGCCTTGTTTCAATTCCTAAACACCGGAGATATAAGGGAGTGAAACCCTCGTTAACCCCTTTGAGCCTTAAAGTAGGAGTTTCTTTTCTTGTAAAAAAAACACTCACATTTATCCCGGGGCAGGGTAGATTTTAGTTAATCCGATTGAGCGTTCAAAACTCATTAGGAGTGCACATCAAAGGGTACAACAATGGTTATCCTTTAGAAGGTTGAGAAAGAACAAAACCGCAATGGTTAACCCTCTTATCAGTAGTGTGCATCAAAGAAAACGATATCCCAATGGGTATTTCTCGCACAACAGAAGGTCAACAGATGATGATACCACAATAGTTACCCCTCATCAACCAAGCGATAAGGCAGTCACAAAACTTCCAACAAG